GAAATAAAAAATGGAAAACTGGTAGTAAATGGATTACTAAAGTTATACTAAAAAAAAGTTTTACAAAAGTGGGGGCATGTTCAATAAACATTTGATTTTATTGTTGCTTAAAATGACAACTAAATTTAATAAATAACATTTGTTTCAAATCATTAAGGTATTGACAAATTTTAAATCTAATACATATTGTTTGTCAGAAAAAATATATTATTTGAAGAATTTTTTTGTTTTCTTAGCATTTTATTTGAAGTACTTAGGTACTTTTTTCTTCGAAGCATTTTGGACAAAACTTAATCAAATACACCAGATTTCCATAATTCGTTTCATTTTATCAATTTGCAAACTTTTTCCTCTATTTTCAACGAAACTTTGGATATTAAAAATGCTTAAAAAATATTTCCTATCATGCGGATTATTAAATATTTTCCGGACTTTTCTAATATGCCCATGTGCTTATTATCATATATAATGACAATGATTTAGAACATAATAATTGATATAATTAGCAATAATATTTGATTATTTACAAATGTTTTTATATAAATGCAGTAATTTCATATACATACTGATAAACACTTCATATTATTTCATTTTATTACTAAAAATCACAATAAATTTAAAGTCTTCTGAGTATTTATTTATAACACAATTATATGCATTAACTTCGATTATAATATACTATGCTGTATACATATATATATATATATATATATATATATATACAAATATATATATATATATATATATATATATTAAGTATATATCGTATCTTATATACATAAATCTGTTGTACGTCTTAGAAGGTTTTTGGCAATAATAATTTCTAAATTATATTTTTCTTACTCATAATTTTACTTGATATCAAATTTTAACTGGATAGACATTTTGACTGTTCTCTGCCTGTTTTTTGCAATTTTTCTACATTATTTCTATAAGTTTATTACCACTATTTTATTTTCATCAACAAACTCTAAAATGTTTTATCAAAATTTGAATAACCGTTTAGGAGCGTTTGAGTGACAAACAGAACACATACAGAAGATTTATGTATATAAGTATACATATATGTATATATATATATACATCTATATATATATGTATATATATATATATGTATATATATACATCTATATATATATATATATATATTTGTAAATATTGATTTATGTGTATAAAGTGTAAGTGTAAGTGTATACCCAAATATTTTATAATTTTTTTTCAAAAACCTACAAACCCTTTCAATCAGTTACTACTTTATATACAAAACGCAGAAATCACTCATACTTTATCATAAAACCATATCAGAAAAACCAAAAAAAAAACCCTAATCAAGTGCGAATAAACCCAAAAATTCAACTTTTTAATCCTTTACCTTATTTCTATATTTTTCTCGCACAAGATTGAAGATTCCTATAAATTTTCCGTTAAAATTTTATCATTTTTCTACTTATTAAGTGTTTTTTTACGTGTAGAAAGAGCAAATTAAGATACGTCATGTTTACTTCGAATAATTGTGCTGGCAGTGATTTTAATTTACAATCATACATTTCAAGATTTGCAAATATTGATAAATAAAAATTAAGAAAATATATCTGGCTGTTTAGATAAATAAAAACATTATTAAAAATTTATTGAATAATAGTTAGAAATGTTTGAGGTACGTTCTTAAGTTTATTTGAAACTGCTTCTTTGCAAAGGAATAAAAAAAATCTATTCTCATCAGTAATATTTATGAAAAAATTAAATTAATATTTAATATAATAATTTTTTTAATGACATTTTTAGTATTATATTAAACACATATAAAACTGTACTTCTTAAAAAAACATTTTGCAGAAGTTTTGTTTTAATAGAATTTCACTTTAATAGAACGTTTTTTTTATAAATATGATAAGTCGAAATCTTCATTTCGTAAGATAAATTATGCACAAGATTAATTTACAATTTAAAGTCTTAAAAGAAAGGTTATGTTACCATTCGGTCATCTTTTATCAATTGTTTCTCTCAATTTAAAAGAAACTAGCCTGGTTATACTAAAAAATGGTTTTTCAAAAGTGGAGGCATGTTCAATATATATTAGACACAAATTTCGAAACAAAAACGAAAGAAAATACTTTTGTTAAAGATTTTCAAACGTGGTTTATTATCTTCTGAAAACTACGTTATTTGATTTTAGACAAAAACTGATTACACATATTTTGCCTTCTACTTTCAAATACCATTGTGAAAAAATCCCTAACTTTACTCGTTTTTGAGATATCGGTGGTGGATTTTGGCTTTTTACCCGCGGACCTTTAAGTTCCGTTTTACTCTATTTAATTAACAAGAAAAAGATGTCAATAAATATTGTAGCAAATCAAAAACAATTATATATATTGAAAATGAATTCTTTCTTAACCATATTTCTCGTTATGACCAGGCAAGTTTTTATTTAATTTTCTTTTATTATTCCTTTGAGATTCGCAATACCTCTAACAAAAATGTTTCAAAACCCGACAATTAACTGAAGAAAGTAAAATAGTATCTTCTTTCGCTTACATTATTTTCACAATATTAATTTTATATTTTCATCTTATTATCCTTTCCTTGATGAATAATAATCGTACATTTCTAATTCATTAAATAGAATTATTGTTAAAACTAAATAATTTGTGCCTAGTGACAACTCGCAGCCCTTTCATAATAATTAATAAATGTCAATAATCCAAATCAAGGCATTATTATTTTAGTAATTATTACCAATTACACATCAAGAGTTACTACGATATATTTTCAATGGAGCATTTAGTAGATTTTGAGCTATTAATACAAAAAAATTTAATCCACTCATTAATACAAAAAAATCAGTTCAACAAATAGTTTTAAATATTTGATTGCCTTTTGAAAAATTAAATACTGCTTTCTTTATATTTTGTTTTAAATTTAGGCCCGTCAACTTGCATATTTTTCTATAAACATTATGCTAAGATTTTCTGATTTTAACACAATCATTATAAAATTTATTAAAAATTTAATTAACATGTGAAGTGGAATAATTTTAGATTTAATTAAAGGGAAGCGTGATGATTTTCAATTCGTAATTGACATTCATTCATTTAAATTAAGAACAGATCATTTTTATTAGTAATTATTGAGTTTTTCAAAAAAAATAATCAAGAACACGAGTCACTCAACAAAAAGTAAAAATCAAAAAAAAAGTTTAAATTTCAGTTGTACCAAAATTAAATTTTGACTTTAAATAGAAATTTCATTTATATAAATATATATGTATATCGAATATATAATAATGGATATAGGTATGCTAAAACTCGAAAACGGCTGGACCGATTTGGCCAGTTTTAGTCTTAAAAAATTCGTGCTAATCCAAAGATTGTGGAAATGTAAGAAATTATCTCAAAACCGCGTAAAAACTTTACATTTTTAATTCAAAATTTTTTGTAGAAACCTAATTTGAAATGAAACAATGAATGGCGGCTCATACGTCAGATGTCAAATGGACTTGACAGATTAAGTTCAACTGAATTTAATAGGATGTTTTAGATGAATATTAATAAGAGGGTCAGCTAGTATACATATATATTTACAAAAGAATTTTGTTCTATAAATTAAAAGTAAATTGATTTTATAAGTAAGAATACATTATACTCTATATATACTCTTATACATTATATATATTTTAACTCGGAAATTACTCAGATATTTATTCACTTTGGGTCAAAAACAAAAACGAGTGTTTAATAAATTATTTGAAATTATTAAAAATGATAAAATGTATTAGTATTTCATGCGTGTAAAAGCGGAAAAGCCGTTAGAATATAAGTTTTGCATAGAATTTTATATAAAAACTATATAAATACAATACGTAATCATATTAAAAATTTGAGCATAATTTATTAGTGATATAGTAGTAGTTTTTAGACTCATAAATGCACAACACTGTTTGAGAATTATTCCTAGCATATCTATTATCCATATCGTCTAATATAATATTTCTATCAAAATGTAAAAAAAATCAAATCATTGAAAAAAATTAATTTCTTAAATATTCCTACTTAGTTATATAATATGGTTATTTAATAATATCTTATTAACAATTTTTCAAACGTTATTCGTGTTTGATTCCGAAATTCTGTATAAAAATCCGTTATAACGTCCTCATTTATTAAACATATGTTTAGAATTACCTAAAATTTGAATTTATTTCGAATTCAAACAACGATCTTGATACACTTATTCACTGATGTTTTTTCAAGTTATTTTTCTCTAAACTCGAGTTCTTGAGCTGCAATTAAAATTTTGCAAATGACCACGAAATGAAACCTTTTTCACTTCACTATAAATTATTAGTATTACTATTCTATGAATTTTATTATTAGTAAATTACTACTCATTATTTTCGTCGATTAGTATAACTCGTGAAGATTTGTTTGGTTAAACTAACTTCAGAAGAGCAACCTCGTTGTCATCAGATTGTTAGATGCCAAGAACTGGTAACTGACACTTTTTTGGAAATAAATGAGAAAAGTGTCAGGAAAAATTTAATAGTGAACATACTGAATACCGTCTCCAAATTATCTTCATTTTGGCTAATATTATATCTTTTGGATTTTTAAAACATTGGACTTAGCTCTCTGTTTTATCCTAATGCATTAAATTTGATGTTGACGTTATATCTCAAGTTTAAATTTATTCTCATACTCGTCTTAAATTTGTAAAGCAACCCATCACCAAATTATTGAAAAATTTCTGTTACCTCGATCATCCATCGTTAGTATCCTACACCATTGCTTGATCTATCCATTAGTTCTGGTTGAAGTCTTGAAAATTATTTTCTGACTAAGGATCATCCATTGGTCATATAATTTCCACTTACTGACACTGCCCATTGAAATATCTGCATCATTGCTCCATGATATTGAGGTGTATTCCATTTCACCAAATGCAAAATCAAGAATTTCACTTTCATTAGTAATCAAGTACAAAAAGATTGATCTATCCCTTAAGAACAAAAGCATTGACATAAATATTAGACTTAGCTTTCTGCTTCATCATAATGCATTAAATTTGATGACGTTATATCTCAAGTTTAAAATTATTTTCATGAGCGTTATTAAATTTCTAAAGCAACCCTTCACCAAATTATTGAGCAATTTCTGTTACCTCGATCATAAATCGTTAGTAGCCTAAACCACTGCTTGATCTATCCGTCAGTCCTGGTTGAAGCCTTGAAAATTATTTTCTGACTAAGGATCATCCATTGGTCATTTAATTTCCACTTACTGACACTGCCCATTGAAATATCTGCATCATTGCTCCATAATATTGATGAGTATCTGGTTGAAGCCTTGAAAATTATTTTCTGACTAAGGATCATACATTGGTTATTCAATTTCCACTTATTGACACTGCCCATTGAAATATCTGCATCATTGCTCCATAATATTGATGAGTATTTCATTTCACCATCAAGAATTTCACTTTCATTAGAAATCAAGATTGATCCATCTATAATCCATTAAGAAAAAAACGTTGAACGTTGAATGCAATATGGTTAAAAATATCATTTTCCTCTTGGCATCTAGTAATAAGTCACCGAAGCATTCTTTCTACTCTCGTCCACGCACCAGTCCACAGTTGCGCACCAGGCAACCAAACAACATCCACTTTTAGGCGCTCTTCGCGGCGCCTGCAGCAGGACAGCTGGAAGATTCCCTTCTCCTGCCAAAAGATCAGGTCGTAGAAGTAACGGATATTGTTGCGTCTGATCTCGATACTGGTGCCTGAGTTGATCGTACAACCTCTTCTCATTAGTGCTGTCCGGAGTCTGAGGAAGCGAGTCCTTCCCTGGCCGGCGTTGGGTGCTGTGCTCCACCATTGGGTCCAGTGGTTCCGTGGGTTCCGTTGGTTCCATTGGCTCCTGCCAACGTCAGACTCCGCTGTTGTTCGTGAATCTCGGCGGCGGCAGAGGCGGCGGAGGTCGACCGTTGTTTCTTTCTTCGCGAGAGGATGGCTCGGAGGCAGCTGGGTAATGGACAGAAATTAGTACCAGAAGACATGTAATTAATAACACCTGTTGCAAATTGACAATTCAAAAAGTATGAATGAAATGTGGGTCTTTCTGCGAATTTTATACGTATCTTTCACAATGATCGAGTTTTTATGAAAAGATGGTGCTTTTTGCACCATTATTAGAATTAAGATTTTTTTTCTGAAAGATATGTGTACTAAAGAAAACTAATTGTTAAATTCCATCAGACTCTACATTCAAGTTACATTCCAAATCATTAATTTTAATTGATTAGATTGGTGGAAAAATCATTGATGAAACCCACTGATTTGAAAGAAATAAACCAAAGAGCATACCTATGTTTTGACCCATATTGGAAACTTTTGTGATGCAAATATCGAATTAATTAATTAATACATAAATATTTTTTTTAAAGAAAACCACCCAAAAACTCATAAATACCATACAGTACTGCCCTTAAGGTTTCCGAATTGGGATATTAAGCAACTTTTTTTTAACGATTAAAATTGGAACTGTTTCTGAGGACGTTTAAGACCATTATTGGAAGTCAATCAATTGTTTAATATATTTTTTACCATATGACTAATTTAAAATTATTTATACCAAATACAAATTTCTCTAAAGTGTATATACACTAACAAAACATTTGCATGCAAAACGACAATAACAAGTAATAAATATTTACATTATATATAACAATTGACAGAATACCTTTACACATTTCAATTAATATTTACAATAAATGTAACCTGTAAAAAGCCAAAATTTTGTTATTATTTACATTTCGTGAAGTGCTGGTGCCTAAACTAATATGCTTGAAAAGCAAAAACTATAATTAGGAATATGTATATACAATCCTGTCAGAAAAGTGATTGATTAGTAATTTAATTGTTATAAATATTGCATAAAAGCTGTGGACAAAACTGTGAATTAGTATGTACATGTGGTTTCAAACATGATTAATTAATTGTTTGATTTAATCAGGTATAAGATAGTTATTCACAAATATTTTTTGCAATAAAGAAATGTACTACAAATTGTGTCAACTTCAAATTGTATCTATATTTGTTGAATAATTATCTTAATTGTGCAAGCACATTATTGTGAGTGATATAATAATCATATGAATTGGATATTTTATTTTCTAAGTTATTTTGCATTTAATATAATAAAAATAAAGTAATGATTAAAATTTGTCCTGTTAATTCTCTCTTTTTACTTTTTCGCTGGCGATATAATCTCATTCTTTGATAACTGTGATATCTGTCTTGCTTAAAAAATATTTTCCATTTATATAACTTCAAAGATTTTTAGAAACTACAAATAATATAGAAATAATTTCTAATCAATAAACTTACGTTTAGTACACGGCACAAATGTTTAATTCGTTTTATTATTTTCAAGAAACAGGGTAAAATATTCTTCTGATTCAGGCATTTTTCATTAAATCAAGATTTGTGCTACAATGTAACTTTAAAATATTTATTTATCTACGCCGATTTCCTTGTTGATATCGGTACGCATACAATGTTGATGCCGGTACGTATACAACGACAGATCTCTACTCACATACACGTCGACTAATCACAATCGACCCGAATAGAAATGATCTCATCGAGAGCGAATGACAAACAGTTCAGGCGTAACGGACATCCGTTGCATTTGTACGGATTTACATCCTAGTCGCGCCTAAAGAAGTTTTACTTCAAAAATAAAATATCCAAATACATTATTATCATTACTAAAGCGTGTTTTTATCTAATATTTCTTTAGCTGTGAGTTTCTGTACCATTGTGCCTTGGATTTGGTTTTACTTTAGAAATTGTTACCTGGCACAGTGGCGTACGCCGAATGTCTTCGGGGGTCATAGGTACTGGTCAAACGTCTTTTTTCACGATACGGATGCCTGCTTATGCTTTTATCTATAAAATTCATAATTAGTAAACTATATAAATATATAGAAAAATAGTTACATTCAGTTTCCTGTTAATAAAAAAAATTGGAGCGTTTTAACATGTCTATTGCCCAATGGATACCCCACAAAACAATACTTTTGTGAAGCATTATACTAATATCATTTAGGGGTCGTGTATTAATCACGTGATCATTTTTTAGAGATTTTTGAATCTCCTCCCCCTTGGTGATACGTCGAGATTTTTAAAATTACTTTTCTTTCCCCATCAGACATCTCTTCAAAAATGTTTGGATTTTTTTTTTAAATTAAGTGAAAAATAAATATACGTAATATCTTACTAGTCACCTCGCTCATGTGATTTTCGTGATTTTTTGTCAACTCCCCTCCACCCCCTAAAATCCTCACGTGATCATTGGACGCCCCCTTACATACAAAATTAATATTTATTATTTGGATTAAATCTCGGCTATAAACATAATAAAACAACTCCAGAATAATATTTAAAGCAATTTGGTAATTTTCTATTATATAAGATATTTTTTGTCAACAATTCACTAATTCTGATTGAAACTAATTTTGGGGCAAAACAAATTAATACTATTTTAGAACAGTCCAAATTCATAAAAAGCAACGAAGACCATGTCAAGTTTAAAAACTAGTGTACGATCTTTAGTTTAATTTAAATTCAAATTAAAAACATTATTTATTATAAATAATATAAATACTAATTTAAAATAGAAATCTTCAATGTTATTATAAATTGAAAGAAAATTACCAAAATGCTTTCGCTTAATTACCAAATTAAATTTTGGTACTAGTAGATGTTCTTAGTTGGTTAAGGTTGTGTTTTTTCAAAGAAATAATATTCAGTTTTGACTTACATTATATATATATTTATATATATATATATATATATATATATTTATAATAAATATATTATTGTTCTCAACTTTTTTTAATAATTTCTTCAAGAACTTGTCTGTACTTCAGTCAAAACTGAACCCCATTTCATTTTTATTTTCTGCATTAAAATAAAACAAAATGATGATAAAAATTTTGAATTAAAATTAAAATTTCTAAAACAAAATAAGAAGTGTAAAAAGTGTAAAATAATACCAAAAAAATTATAAAAATATGGTTAAAATGTGTTGGTGGTGTTAGGCTTGATTTTTTAGTACCAGTTGATCAAGCATGTGGATTGAAGTATTCAAGAATATTATTGTTGTCGTACATAAATCATAATTAGTAAAAATAATTATTTTTTAAATAAATATATAAAATATATTTAATCAAAAATGCAAGAAACCAGATAAGTTTCATAAGTCTTTACTACTATGATAAAAATTTCTTTTAGAACGTTATAAAAATTCTTAACCAAAATTTAGTCAATTGTTTTGATTTATGTATGATCACAATAATTTGATGGTATCCAGCATGTATATTTGTATTCTAGCAATATAAATATAAGATATATTCTATAAAAATAAGGCATTGATTAATTATTGACCGATTGCACCAAGTGTCTGCATTTATTCTATATTAACTAATAATGTAACAATTTGGTAATTAAAAATCCTTAAGACAAAAGTTTCTATAATCGATAATGAATTCATAGAAATTTTATCGGCTTTCTATGTTGATATTATTATTATAAAATAGCGCAACTTTCGTTTTGATTATTTATACTATGGGTTTCTAGCAAAGTTTTTAATTTAAATTGAAAACTAGATTTTACTAGCTCAAATCACTGATTTCTTCCTGGATCTTATAAAAAAATTACTGGCAAATTTTACATACATACAAGTTTCAATTTAATACAAGAAGTTAATAAATTTTGAGACCTTTATGTGTCATCAGAACAATTTTCTTTTTCAGGGTACCAAAATAAATCTCCAGAAAATGACATTCTTGTCAAATACTTAAAATGTTGAGACTTATCATCAAGTCACGAACTTAAAAAGGAAAAAATAGTTTTTATTGAATTTTTAAGGAAGTTTTTTAATGAATTAATAAGTCTGTAATACTAATATTCAATACAGGTAAAAACGAAACAGTAGTCAATACTGTAAAAGTAAGAGGTCTATCCCAATTGCAAGGGGTCTAAGACTCGAAAAACTTTGGAGACTTATGACTTTTAGTTTTATTGTCTTTTCTCTTGGTGAAATCGGTCAAAAGATGTCGTGTGATTAGGAAAGCTTGAAATAAAAATAAAAGATTAGTGATTGAAGTCATAAAGTCGATCACTGTTCAATCTGCGTCGATCGCCTGTCCAGCGCGACCAGCGAACGTGAAGTACATTTAGTTCGCTTTTTGGTTCGAGAAATTTCTCTAAATCAAAGAAAATAATCGAAAACTATCTACCAGAAAATAATTAAAAATCGAGAAACTCATGCAAAACTAGGAAAGTAAATTAACCCTTTTCACTCGGAAATACACACAAGTCTCGCAATTCGCGAGTGGAAAGGGTTAATTATCTTGCATTTCAGGAAATGTCTACAGTATTTTACCAATCAACCCAATTTACTAGACAATTCCAAAAATAAATCATGCACTTGGATCGCTTTAAATTGAATCGTTCATTTGAAGCCATATTTTTTTTTATAATTATTAAATTTTATAAATATTAATTAATAATTTATTTTTCCAACGAATGTAACTAACTCATATCTCTGAAAATAAGCAAATAAAAGAAATACATTTCTTACCCAAAATACAATTTTCATAAACGCTTGTAGACAATATGTATTTCAAGTTATATTCTATATCTTTTTAATTACAGTTATTTTTCAATAAATAAGATCGGCGTAAAGGCTAAAGGGCGTATTAGGCGGGTAATCGAATTAAGGTTAATCGTCTTAACGAGATTCTAAATGTTTCTTATATATAAACCATGGTTAATTTTGAAGTTTCAATGCTTGAATAAAATCTTGGCGAGCATCAAGTTAGAAAAGAACCAGATTTTAAAACATCCTATTGTTTTGATGTAAAATTTTATATCATCATCAGTGGATTTGACCAAATCCAAAGAGAATAAGAAATATAAAATAAATATAGTAATAGTAATATATAAAATCTATATAAATCACTAACCAGTAGCATTAAAACCTTCAGTGATTGTAGATAGATTAGTGATTGAACCTGTGATTAATTTTAAAATTTTTACTAGATGACAAATTTATATTGGACGCAAGACTAACTCAATTTCAAATTTTTGATGTTTCAAAATATTTTGTGACTTTTGAATTGACTAACTCAATTTCAAATTTTTGACCTATTTCATCTTAGATTTTCATATCCACTAATGTTAATAAACAACTGTACATCGAAATGTCTAGAAAAATAAAGCTTCAAAATATTTTGTCAATGCTGTCTTCAAGACTCTCAATTTTCATTTTTGATATTTAATTTTTAAGTAATGTATTTTATCCTCGATCTTCATACCCACTAATGATAATAAAAAATTGTACATCGAAAAGTCTAGAAAATAAGGCTTTAAGATATTTTCCCTTTTTCTACTCGATGTTATGTTTATTTTTGAAAAGAATACTATGAATATTAATTCAATGATCAATTCAATTGCAAATATTAAAAAAAAATGATGAAGGAACCATGATCACAATATTTTTATGAATTCATGCAAATTATAAATTAAATAATAATCTATAAACATTAACTATTTATAGACGACTTGATAATTTAAATTTCAGCTCGTATCGAGTTTTTATAAATCATTCTCATGCAAGTTATAATAGTCTATAAATATTTTAATTATTTAAATATTTAATTATTTATAGACTTGTTTTTAAATTCTTGTTTTAATACCAAGAATTCTACTGAATGCGAAATAGAAATTTCATGCCATGAAATTTGCACAAACGAATATGAAAATGTTTCAACTGAACTGAATCAAATTTAACTAAAATAATAGACTAATTTGATGTAGATTAAAAAGTAAGATGGGTTATGATCATTAGTAAAATACACATATACACTCAGGGGATTTTAATAATCTTGTTCGAAATGATTAATGAACTCAAAACTTATGAAATAGATTGTTCTAATTTTATTTTAACAATATTATAGAAAGTAAATGAATATGACAAGATTATTAAATAAATTAAAAAAACGTCAAAAAGATCATTTACTATTTTAATAAGAAAAAAAGTTCCATTGAAAAACGTCAAAGCAATCTTTACTATTTTGTTAGATTTAAATTGAGTACATGAGACTTTGTAAATTATTTTTAATTTACAAGAAGTTAGAGTAATTTCACCAATTTATAAGCACGCAATGAATTAATAATGAACCTAATTAGTTAATTTTGAGGAGAGCGCCTATAAGAAAAAGGTTTAATAAAAAATCCAAAATAGATCTGTTTGTTGCAAAGTACTTTAGATTTACGTAGTTGGGAGTTACGTAGTTTGTTTGATTTGAAGAAGTTTTTAATTATTAAGAAATAAAGTATATGTTATAATTTAATAGACCAAAAATTCTATTTCTATAATAGAAATAAAATGTAACCAGTTATATTTTCAATTTCGATTTCTTCAAACAAAATTACTAATCCCTCTAACACGCAACCACAATCACATTCAAGTCTGCACAAAACATGACACCAAGGCATGATAACTTCCAGCTTTCTATATAATTATTATCGAATCCTGCAGGACGACGCAGATCCTGGTTTGTTTTTTGGTAATTAGTATTTTCTTTACTTCTTACATGAATCGTGATGAGATTTATCCTCGGCGGCGACCATCAGGGCAGCTTGCTCGGTCCCGGGCCCTTGTTGAGGAGGCGCCGGTTCTAAGGCGTTTACACAGTTAAGCATGCTCCTGAAACCAATTCGATAATTGATCGATTAATAAAAAAACAGGTATTTGTGTAGGTGGATCCTGTGAATATATCCTGAAAAATATTACCGATGTTATTTGTGGTCAAGAACACCTGTAAAGAGATGATGATCATCCACTAGTGGGAGGAATTAATCTAAGAAAGTTATAAAGTCTAAAAATAATTGTTGAATATAGTGATATACAATTTGCACACACATACCGATAAACACACATATATATATATATATATATATATATATATATTCACCCATTTGTCATAATTATAAATAATATTATGAATTACTGAAAACAATCAGAATACAAACAACGCAGTAACCTAGCAAGCGTTGATAAAATTTCTTTTAAAGCCACAAACTGCGCCTTAACAAATAAGAAATGCGTAGTTTCTGACTCACAAATAACGAATTTGAACAAGTTTAAACAAGCATTTTAGGAAAGGATTACGTCATCCGGATAAGGAATATAAAAGCTGCAAGATTACAAAATCACTAATACCTCTGGACATTAATCAGTTCAAGTGATTTCAAAATTATCATTCACTTTTCTAGAAGTAGGAAATGAATATGAAGTAGGTACTTGCCTCATGTGTATGGTATAATACTACGTTGGAAAATTTACATATCAAGTCAGGCGCGACAAAATATTTTGCAGATCTACTTTGCAACGATCTATTATGTTAATAACGAATGCCGCCGTCGGGATATTGCAATATGTATATATTTCGCAAAATAAATATTTTTAGTTTCGATAAATCGACAGATAAGCCGTTGATTTTCAATACGTAAGTTATTTTTTGCCGGTCTATTCTGACAGCAAATCGTGTGGCAATTGATATTCAGCACTAGGAGGGTAAGAGGCAGCAATGGACTGGATGACTTCTCAAAGAAGTTTGTTTTTGTAAGATAATCCAACTAGCTAATTTCATGTTGTCTTTGCGGTTTATGTAGTTCTGACCACCAAATTTGGAAGAAGTGTCTGTGGGTATGTTGGCTAAAATAAGATCTTTCATCGACGTTTGCTCAAAAACGACTGCACGAATTTCAAAAACCTAAAACGATAGTTAACAATAGTCGCTCTGATATACAAAAAATAATTAATGTTTTATATACATTTAATAAAAAAAACAATAATAAATATATACATCATATCAATATCATTATCGAATATTTTCCTTAATAGTTTGATCAATGTATCTACTATTATATCGTCAAAAAAGTCGTCGCAGGAAATATAAACGTGTCTTTCAACATTAAAATAGTTTAATTTACGAATATAAAATTTGAATAGTTTAATTTTCGAATATAAAATTTGAATATTTTAATTTACGAATAATAGAGTAAATGTCTATCAATTTGTTCCGGAACTTCAGTCGGTCGTCTGATGGCGAACATTTTCCGGGGAGGAGTTTTCTCCGGCCGCAGTGATTGCCGTTGACATTGAATCTTTACGAGTCGCTGCCAGTTCTGTACTAAAACAAAATGAAAATAAAAATAAACAAAATTAACAAAAATAAAAATATCAATAAAATAAATAAGAAAAAATATAGAAAACTAAAATTAAAGGAAAAAACTAACTTCATAAAATATATAATAAAACTAAAGTGAAAATAATATAATGTAAGGCACCAGAACTTGAAATTTAATAGAAGAGTATTATATATATATATATATATATATATATATATATATAGATTAGGGTGATCCTTAATATGGATATTCCTTGCTCAGGCGGTCAGAATTAAACTTAGATTTAATTTGTATAAAAATTGAATTAAAATGTGTAAAATGCCACATTGTAAACCATAATATAGATTTTTTCAACCCAAAAAATTTTACATTCTGAAGAGAAAGTAATTAAAAGAAGATTCGCTGAGGGGTTGTTTTTGCAATTGCATACCGACAAAGTCATAAACAAACGTTTCGACAATACGGCCCTGAACGAAACAAACACGTGGTTCCTTATTAGCGTGTCAAAATTTCTTAAAAAATGGCAAGATCCCATCGCTTTTTAAATTTCACACATGCTAAAAACTGCTTCAAGAAAAAATGTGACATTTCTATCTTTACATCGAGGCGGCGCTTGGTTAGGCGACTGGTTAAACTCCGAACTGTAAATACATAGTTTCGACAACTTGTTAAGTTACCATGTTTATTTGTGTGTTTTACCATCTGTGATGTTAAAAAATATATATTTTATCAATGTGCACATACTCATACCATGGATACAAAATTGTAAGTGTTTTTTTATTATTATCATAATCATTATTGTTTTTCTATGAAATTTCTTACATATTATTTATTTAGTTTTAATTTTTATAGTTGAATTGATTGCCACTGAATGAAGGCTAAGATGCTAGCCGACACGTATGGATTTTAAATAAAAAAAATTCTAAAAACTCTCATACTATTTTTATTGATGTAACGCCCGATTTTTTAACTAAAAACTAAACATATTATATCAACATCAAATTCAAGACTATTCAATATATATATATATATATATATATATATATACGATTATTTATATTTTTTGTTTATTAACAACCTTGTAGGAACATAATAATTATTAATGTAAGTATAATTAGTTGATTTAGTTTTTGCTATGAAATCTACTTTTACTCCTTCGACAGCCAACACGTGTTTAAATTATGATTACTTATGGATATGCAAATAATTATGTATACTTAGTAGAATTGTGTGACATAGTTAATTTATAAGGTGCTTTAATATATTATCAAGAATGATTTGTTGCATACTTAATAATATTTCCATAAAAACTTTCAAATTTACCGAAGGAATAGCAAGAAAGATATACTGCCAAACATTAATAGAACCTCACTTATCCACAAACGATAGATTTTTTTACTTTCGATTAAATAAGGTTAACCTAGTTAATATTACTTAAAAATTGGTAAATTTGTTAAATTTTTTGAACCATATTATAGAGAAGTAACATATAAAACGCATATCATACGGTTGTGAAAGAATGGAATGAATGTTTTAATTTTATTAACACCAGCCAATATGTTGCTATATCGAATGGTGAAAATTTAATTAAAAAAATAAATAGACGTATAAAAACATACGTACATATACACACAGACACACCCAAGTATATATAAACATAAAAGATAATTTAGATAATTGTTAGAAAAATGCCAGGAATAATTTGCCAGGTAATTTCAGGTGTACATCCCTGCAACAAAAATGGGTTAAAATTTCTCATGTCATAGTAATAAGTAAATCATATCAAATCATAGTATAAATATTATCATATTATAGGTAAATCACATACATAATATTCCAATAATTTCATAATTTATAATTATTTATAATTCAAATATACGAAAAGTCCATTACTCGTCTGATAGTATGGACTTGAGAACGACATAGACTGATACATGCAGAAGTAAATATCAGTTCTAAATTAAAAGCATAACATGACATAATAATATATAATATTAATTCTTAACATTTATTTCACTAATTTGAAGAAAACACACCCACGATGGTATAATCTTATCGTGGTAAAAATATATTGATATTTGTTAAATAATATGCATTCATTTCAGAAATACGTTTGGTAATGGTAGGATTTAGTTGATTTTTATTTTTGTTTTAAATTGTTATAATTTTTATTTATGAAAATCGTAAAATAAAATATAAATAATAGTTGGAAAAACATAAAAAGTCTACACAACTTATTTTGGAGCTATGAAAGAGTGATATCATTAAAAAGAAAACCAAGTTGAATGGCAATAAGAAACGAAATTTCATACAATAACAATATTTTAAAAAATAAATATAAAATTTTCTAAATGATGTAGAAGCACCTAATGGTTGACAATGAAACAATTAAATGAAAAAGTCTATGAAAGTGAGTTATTTTGGAGCTGAGAAAAATTGATATCATTGAAAAGAAAAACGAAGTGAAACCAGCAAATTGGTGTATGATTTTATAATATTAAATGAAAAACGATATTTTTGAGCAAACAACGACATTTTATAATATAAACAATTAATTAAATAACTTACTAATAAAAAATAATATGTAAATAATAGTATAGTAAAAAACAAGTAGTATTGACAAGCTAATCGGGAAGAGCTCTGGAAATTTGATAATGAACAGAAAAACCAAATCTTTTCAAATTTATGGATGTTTAGATTAAAGTTAAATAAATATTGTTAAAATAAATGTGAACAAATGCATAATGATTGAGATCCCAAAATACTGTAGTAAAATCGTATATTTATCAAGTAAATATTTATTTACTAATATAACTAAGACAATATGAATTAATCGCAGTAGAAATAAAAAAATAAAATTGAAAATAAATTATCACCTATAATGATAGCAAAAATAATGTAAATTAAAAGTAGTAACACTAAAAATGATATTTCGGTAATAATTCAATATAAAGATTATCATGATCATCACGGGATAAATAAAAATATTTACTTAATAAAAATTATGTATCATTATTAAAATCTTGAGTTAATAGTAAATATTTATAGTGGCATAATTGTAAATTGTAAAGTTATTAACTATCAATTTTCAAACAATATTATAATCTACCATAATTTTCTCTGAAAAAACTCGGATGCAAATACTTGCCTCTCATGTCACATTTGAAAGGCCTTTTTCTTAGTTCATACTCAAAACACAATTAGAACAGTAAATTCCAAACAAATATATAAAATGTATCAAAAACTAATTCTCGTTCGACAAATGTATATAAAAGATGTTAACACTACAAAAAATTAACTATGACTAAATAATAACGAGACCACAATTAAGCTAGTCGTTCATCAAAATAAATAATCTATATCCAAAATTACCTTTTTGGTTATCCGCTGCCACTTGCGATAGAAATCATATCATATCAATAAAAGTAATGAGATTGAGGTAAATAAATATATGAAAGAAACGAAGAATTATTGTGATAATGAAATAGTTAATTTTATAATTGGTTTGGGTAGACATTTGGCGAATTTTGACGAAAAAATCAGATGTACATAAATGTTATTTTGGCTTAAAGCTCCAATGTAATTTATAACTATAATTACGCCTTTATATGTTTCCTAACTGCTTTCATTTATTTTGCATAAATATAATTTATCTATTTTATTAATGTCTATTTTATGCAAACTTACATGTATTTTTCTTCAGATGTAATCGATTTAGATGTACCGCTGTTGAATTGTAAATTATTTTATATCGGTGGCGTTAATCTAGATTATATCACGTTTTCGTAATGTGATCGTAATACTAATTAAGTGAAATTGATTTTGCACAACCTTGTAAATATTTATTTATTAAATTACACGGAATCAATTTTATATCCTCGGCTTGAGGTGATAGAATGTAGCAGTCAATGAATGTATGTTAATTTTAATTACATGAAGTTCTTCATACACAATTACATGATGAGTGAAGTTGCAAAAACAATATTTGTTTAGGCGTTGTTTAACATAATCCACTGTGTGATCAAATATTAAAAAATTTATTAATCAGCAATTACTTCATTTTTTTAATGAAGGTTCATTTCTAAATGCTAATTACAATGACAAACCGATCATGTCATATTTGAAGTATGACTTTAATTACATTATTGTTTTTAAATATTATACATATTTTTAATGCTGTTATAAATATATAATTTATAATTTATCATTATATAAATGTGTATAATGGTTGACAGTAATAAATGTGTGCATCACGAGTGTTACCATATTACTAACAAACATTATTCAAAATTGTTGTATGATGTATTTATTTTTACTTAAATGCCATCTTGTACAGTAGCAAATAAGTTTTACTTCAATCGCGCGTGATCCTTACGCGCACTCTTTTTTTATTTCCTGCTCGAGATTTATGTTTAATATATGGTTTGACTTTCTATCCTATTATAAATTTACGCTCATAACTACATTTTTGAGTCTTAAATCCACGGCAATGAAATTTTCTCATTAAAATATCTTGAACTAAAATGAGTTTTAATGATCGCATGCAAGAGTTTTGTCACTTGTGAACATATGTCTTTTAGATCCATAAAATATCGCAATAATTCCATAAGTTGTAACGTATTGATTATACCTTGAGATTGCTATTCGCTAATGGTATATAATTTACTATCAGTGAGAATTACACGCGAATTTTCAACATTCTCGTTACTAAGACTCTTGATATAATTTTATTAGGCTATATTGGCGGGTTTACTGTTATTAAAAGTTATTATTCGGTGTCGCAATTGATGGAAAAACATATATGAGATATGTTTTGCTCGAGAATTTGTATGGTCGTTGACTTCTGCAGAATTTGTTGGGATATCCGCATCTCGTGCCATGCCATCCGGCCAAAGGTGGAAAAGTGGAAAGTTATTAGCTTTCCTTATTATTCTAGGTATATTTTCAAAATTTAAAAAATCTATTTGAATTTATTAAATAATGTCATATAAAGCTATGTTAA